GGAGGCAGTGACGGATTTTACTTTCTTGGGCTCCGTGATCACTGCAGATGGTGATAGCAGCCACGAAATTAAATGATGCCTGCTTCTTGGGAGGAAAGTGATGAGAAACCTAGACAGAATCTTAAAAAACAGAGACATCAGCTTGCCGACAAAGGTCCGCATAGTCAAAGCTATGGTTTTTCCAGTAACGATGTATGGAATTGAGAGCTGGACCATAGAGGAGGCTGGCCACTGAAGATGATGCTGGATGAGACTCTTGAGAGTCCCCTGGTCTGCAAGGAGGACAAACTTATCCATTCTAAAGGAAATCAACCCTGAGTGCTCACTGGAAGGGCAGATCCTGAAGCTGAGGCTCCAATAATTTGGCCATCTCATGAGAAGAGAAGACTCCCTGGAAAAGACCCTGATGTTGGGAAAATGTGAAGGCAAGAGGAGAAGGGGACCACAGAGAATGAGATGGTTGGACAGTGTCACCGAAGCTACCAACATGAATTTGACCCAATTCCGGGAGGGAGTGGAAGACAGGAGGGCCTGGTGTGCTCTGCTCCATGGGGTCATGAAAAGTTGGACACGACTTAATGACTAAACAACAACAACAATATCCTTACATGGATTCATCCTTCCAGTGGCCCTCCTGCAAAACATTTATATTATCTAAAGCAGTGTTTCCCAATCTTTTTCAAGTCTTAGCCCCCCTTTTATACTCACCAAATAACTTGTGACCCACTGCCACATTTGCAAAATATATATATATATTTTAATGGGGTGAACTATCATGAGAAAACAAACTTCTCTGAAAATGACAGTAATGCTAGGAAAAAAGGAAGAAAGAACTTGAGATGGATTGACTCTTTGATAAGGGTGCATCAGGGCTTCCGACAATGGGAATGAGGTTTTTAGGGAGTGGGGAAGTATTAATTCATAGTCCCCCCAAAGCAGCAGCAATTTGACAGGACAATGCACCGTTACTAAATACCTACTGCCTGATGAGGAGGTCCTTCCCCCTCCACTTAGCTGGGCTTGCAGTTTGAGTTCTGCCTTCCCCACTCCTGATTTTCTTAGCCTCCCTTCCAGCCCAGCAGGGACAGACTCAATAGCATCACACCCCCAGATCCCAGAAGGGAGAGGTGGTCTTTAGGGGATTTACAAAACTCAGTTTTCTCTGGAGGAAGGGATATGAGAAAGAGGAAGGGTCTCTTTTTTTGACCGCACATCCCACCCCACCCTCTCCCACTCCCTTCCCTTTCTAGAAAACCTACCCAGCCCTTTAACCCTTGCTGAGAAAGCGAAGCAACTAGTAACCCATTAGCTTCACCAGAGACATACAGACACAAACCCCTGGTTAGTTTCAGCTGTTGGCCACGCAGAAAGAACTTTATAACTCCTTTGGTTGGGAACCTGTGGTTAGAGATGGGGACGACTCACCAGTTTGGCAAGTCGTCCTGCTTCGTGAGTCATCAAAAGTTGACAACTCACGAAGCACAATGTTGCCCCCATGAACCAACGAAGCACGAATTTATTTGCTGATTTGTGGGGGAGTCACTAAAAATAACCGTGAAGACTTCAACTTACATCCTCCAGGTATAGGAATCTGAGTCCAGTTGGAACAGGCATATAAATGCAGACAAGGGCTACAGTTGCTGTGCCTGGACATGATCTTGTTCTGAGACAAGCATAGTAAGAGGTGTGTAGATTTTGTTGTTCCAGTTGGAAATAGGGTTGCCATGACAGCAGGATCACATAACCTGAGATTTCGGAGCCAAAGCCTGAGACATAAAGACAGAGCCTTGTAATGTTAACAGAAGACAAAGTCTTGAGCAGCAGTTACAAAGTGGCACCTGTGCAGAGACAGAAAAATATAGAGGCCCCCATGATTCATATAACGGCCAACCTGCAAGTCCCAGCAGCAGCTTCCTGAATATGCACAGTGAGAAAAAAAAGACAATGGTGCTTCAGAGGATATCTAAATGGCATGTCCCAAAGCCCCATGGTTGGACCCCAAAAACTGGGGCTGTCAGGATGGCCAGCCTCAGGGCCAAGACCCCAAACCTGGAAATATCTTCTCCTAGTTCTTTCCCCAGAATGAGGAGGTTGCTTCATTTCTCTTTTAAGAGAAGAGCATGGACTGCAGAAGGAGGAAGGAACTCAAGAAGGAGGACGGAAAAATGGAGAAGGGAAGGAAGCTGGGACTTTTGAGGTCATATAAAATCAGGTCCCTTTTGTGGACTGAGGAATGGGCATTTAAACAGTTATTTCCTTCTACAGCTGGTAGAATAGTCCATCCAAAGAGATTGCAGCAATAACTTCTGGTCCAATGCCCAGGTTAACTGAGCGATTCTGGACAGCGTGGGCCAAGCATTGCATTCCAAGGTCTATTAGCCACCTATTTCCAAGCTTACCAGCTGATTGGACAAGAGGCCATCACAATTTCAAGGAACTCAATTATTGATTTGACCTATCACTCCTCAACAAATTACAGTGGTGCCCCACGTGGCGACAATAATCCATTCCGTTAAAATTGCTGCACAGCGAAATCATGATCATGCGAAAAAAAACCCCATTGGAATGCATTGAAAACCAGTTAATGCATGCCAAGGGGGAAATACCTCCTCGTCCAGCGAAGATCGCCCATAGAGAATAGCCGATCAGCTGTTTAAAATCGCTGTCTTCCAAAGCTTCTGTCCGGAAAACAGCCATTTTGCAAAGGGATGGAAGCCATTTTGCGAAGGGAAGCCATTTTGCAGAGCTGGAAAAAACATTGTTTTGCGAACAAACGGTTCGTGAAGAAAGGACCTAATCAACTTAAAGCGGTTTCCCCCCATAGGAACCACCGTTTTGCAATCTCAATAGCAACCGCAAAAAAGTCATCGTCAAGCGATTTCGTCGTTTACTGGGATAAGCGTCTAGCAGGGCACCACTGTACATACTTCTGGGATATGTGTGACTTCCATTTCCCATGATGGAAGTGGAACTTTTGTAGCCAATGTAGAGAAGCATCTGGAAGAGCAGCAGCAGCACCCTCAAAGTCTAAGGGAGTGGAAAATTTACACGAACCCATCCTCCAACCCTTTCTCACTCAGTCACCACCACCGTTAACACCTATTAAAACATTTCTAAAACAGGTATGTTTAGCATGGGAGGAGGCAGAGCTGCAGCCCCACCCCTGCACCCTTTGGGTTTTCTTGCTCTTCTGTCTGCAGAGAGCGAAGAGCCTGGAAAGAACAGCCTCTGCTCTCTGCCAGGGCTCTCCATGTGATCCAAGTGTAAGAAGAGAGCAAAGGAAACAGAAGCAGAGGAGGCAGTGTTAAGGGTGCTCCCCTTTCCCCTGGGTAAGTACATTCCGTTAAGACAATGACTGAATAGGGCGGTATTTATAATATGCATTATACAACGTGAGAGAATCAAAGCCTGCATTTGGCCCTTCTCTCCCCAGCCCTTTTGCTTATCATGCTCTGTGTCTAAGATTACAGCCCTGTCAGCAATGTCTGTTTTTAGTTTCTTTAATTTTTTCTTTTACATCCTCATTGCAAGGTTTGAGCATAATAATAATAGCACATTTTGGGGGAAAAATCTACATGGAGGAGAATCCACAGATTGACAATTTCACAAATGCAATAAACTAAGTAAATATGACAGAAAGGATAAGATACACACATTTGCACCTCTTGTTTTTCATTCTGAAGTCCGAATCTTCCCAAGCTCCATTTCAGCTTCAAAAAAAAGCAAGGCTTGGCCTGTTAATAAGCATTAAGCTTAGTTGAGGAATGAGTCATCGTTCCAGGTATTTCCCAAGCCACCTACCAGTTTTTTTTCTGGCTAACAAAGGGAAGGTTTGGATCTTCCCCTCCCTTTTCAAGGTAGATAAGAAGCTACGTATCTATAATTGGGACTTATTTGCACTGCCCTTCCTAGGGAAGAGGCTGAACAGGCCAGCTGTTTACTTCCTTGGGGCACAGGCTGTATATATCTCAGGCTTGCTTGTGGAAGGCGGAAGGAAGTGGTTAATATCCTGAGGCATTCAGCCTGTAAAGAGTGCTCAGGCGTGCCTGTTCTTTTATTTTCTTGATTTTGCAGTCACTGTGCAAACAGCTAGGAAAACAGCGGCTCTTGAAGTCACAGAAACGGCTCCATTCGTAAGATATTACAACATGTCTGACCCGGAATCAAGGCAGCCCGAGGAGCTCTCTCAAGAACTGGCTCTTAAGGACCCTGTCGCTGTGGCAAATGGACCACAGATCTGTGAAGAAGAGAGTAAGAGCCTAGGATTGAAAAACGAAGGGGAACTTCCATCAGAACTGGAACGAAAAGATAGCTGCAACAGTGAAGAAGTGGGGGAGATACTGCCTAAGAATGAATCCAGGGAAGAGCCACCAGGTGACCCTAGTTCAGTGGGCGAAGAAGAAATTCTTTGTGACTTCTGCTTGGCTGAGAAGGTGCGGGCGGTGAAATCTTGTTTGACTTGCATGGTAAATTATTGCCAGGACCATGTGCAGCCTCACCTGGAGAATGCCAAACTACAGACCCATAAACTTATGGACCCGCTGAAGGATGTTGACATAGAGAGCTGTGAGGCCCACAGGGGCCACCTCAGTTGGTTCTGCCATGCTGACCTGGCTTGTGTCTGTGAGGAGTGCCTTGCCGATGGACACAAAGGGCATCAAGTGGTGTCTTGTGAAGCAGCGAGAAAGGAAAAGGAGGTAAATTGTGGATTGATGTCTACCATGAATGTGTTGGTGCAGAGAAATATCATGACTAGAGGGCAGGAAAGTTACTTTTGGGGACTGTACTTCCCAAGAGCTTCTGGCTCCCATGCTCAAGAGTCCCAAACAGTAAATTTTCTAACCTCTGGCAATGGCAGTTTGAAATGCTGGAAAATGTGGAGCTTCTGATATAGGTATAGTTTATTTTCAAGCCAGAAGGAAGAAAAGCAATCCAGCTAGGTATTAATTTAGCAGCATAGGCTTTACTAGGGAACACGTCCCCCTGAATGGGGTGGGATTGGCTTGTGTAAACATGTTCAGGATGTATAGTGTGAGATATGCAGGGTTCTTTTGTTATATTGGTGAAGTATTTTGAAATCAGGCCAGTCTTATCAAAAAGAAACTCGAGTCCTTTACTCAAAGGAAATGTAGGGAATTGGTGAAGGGCTTGCCTACTTCCTCTAGAAAATGGGTGTACTGGGAACTGTTATCTGTGCTCAGTGCCTCTTCACACCAATTCGGAGCCTATAGAAACTCTAGGTTTGTTTATTTATTTCTACTCCACCTTTGTCCTTAAGAAGGACCCAAAATTGTGGCTTAGAACATTCAAAGACAATATTTAAAGCTAAAAAACATTGTGGCTTACAACATTCAAAGACAATATTTAAAGCTGAAAAACAAATATAAAATATTAAAGAGGAGCAAACAAATACCACAGTAAAAAATGGTAAACCAAAGCAACATCAAAACACTTTTGATACAGTAAGGCAAAAGATTTTATTTAAGAACTCTACTCAGATAGCCAGTAATTAATGGAACACTTGCTTGAAGAGAAAGGTCTTTGCCTTTTGCAGAAGGACAGCAAAGATGGGGCCAACCTGGTCTCATGTAGAAGGGAGTTCTGGAATCTGGGAGCAGCAACAGAGAAGGCCCTCTCTCCTGTGTCCCCACCAAATGCACCCTTGAAAGTGGTGGGACTAAGAGAAAGGCCTCTCCTGATGATCTTAATACCTAGGCAGGTTCATAATAGGAGATTCGGTATTTAAGACAGCTTGGTCTTAAACTATTTAGGGCTTTATAGTTTAGGACCAGTACAGTACTTTGAATTGTGCTTGGATACTGTTCGGCAGTCAGTGGAGCTGCCATAACAGGGGAGTTATGTAATCTCTGTGACCAGCTTCAGTTAGCAATCTGCTGTGCTTTGGAGCCGCTGAAGTTTCTGAGCACATTCCAGAGGCAGTTCTGCATAGAGTCCGTTACAATAGCTCAACCATGAGGTAACCAAGGCATGTTTCACCGTGGCCAGATAAAATATCTTCAGGAACAGGGAAAGGTAGCGCACTAGCTTTAATTGTGGAAAAACACTTCAGGCTCAGAGATGAATTTAGGAGCACCTCCAAGCTGTGTACATTTGTTTTTAGAGGGAATGCAACTCCCATGTTTAATAACACAGATTTGGCTGTATTACCCAAGGCTGAGACTATCGTGAGACTGCTGACAGAACATTCAGAATGTAATGCAGATCAATATTTATCAAACAGATGCACAGGTGCTTGGAAACATGTCATCGTCTACCATCCCAACCCTTTGTAATACAGCTAAAACTTGGCATGGGCTGACACAGAAAAACAGCAGCTAAAAGGCCACAGGATCAGGTGAAAGGATCCTTATTATGTCCTTCTTCTTCATCGGCCTGATTCCCAAAATTCTAATGATGTTCATCAGTTTGGACAGCTTTAAAAGTAGGTTAGAGGTTTGGCCACTAGCAATTTTCCTTGGGAAAATTCTTGAGCAGATTATAAAGCTGTCCCTCTGCAAGCATCTTGTAAACAGTGCAGTAATAGAGTAATGCATCGCAAGACGAAAATAATTCATTCCACGTGTCGTTTCATATTGCAAAAATTTCATCTTGCGAAGCACGGTTTCCCATAGGAATGCATAATTAATGCGTTCCTATTCATCTTGCGAAGCACAGCCATAGAAAAATTTGTCTTGCGAGTAATCAAAAAAATTGCAAACCGCTTTCGTATTGCGAGTTTTTCGTTGCGCAAGGCATTCGTCTTGCAAGGCATCACTGTAATTAGAAGCCAGCATGCATTTGTCAAGAACAAATCCTGCCAGTCTAATCTTATCTCATTCTTTGATCAGGTAACCAACCTGGTAGACAGGGGGAGACATAGTATATCTTGACTTCAGCAGCACTTTTGACACACTTCCCCGTGATATTCTGATTAGCAAGTTAACTAGGTGTGGGCTGGCTAGAACAATTGTCAGGTGGATACACAGTTGGCTACAGAATCGTACTCATGTGATGATTAATGGCTCTTTCTCAAACTAGGAGAAGGTAACGAGTGGGATACCCCAGAGCTCAGACCTGGGCCCAATGCTATTCAATATTTTTATTAATGACCTGGATCAGGGGATACAGCGAATGCTAATCAAATTTGTGGATGATACACAATTTGGTGCACAGTTACATGATGGGGGATATATGGCTCAGCAATACTACAAGCGAGAAAGATCTTGGAGTCATTGTAGATAACAAACTGGATATGAACCAACAGTGTGATTTGGCTACAAAAAGGCAAATGTTACTTTAGGCTGCATTAACAGAAGTATAGTCTCCAAATGCCATTAGGTGCTAGTTCCCCTCTACTTGGCACTGGTTAGACTTCACCTAAGGTACTATGTCGAGTTCTGGACACTGCACTTTGAAAAGGATGCCAACAAACTGAAGGAAGTTCAGAGGAGAGCAACAAGGATGATCAGGGGACTGGAAACCACGCCTTCTGAGGAAAGACGGAAAGAACTGGACATGTTTAGCCTTGAGAAAAGAAGACTGAAGGGAGATATGATAGCACTTTTCAAATACTTGAAAGGCTGTCATACAGAGGAAGGGCATGATCTGTTCTCAGTCATCTCAGAGTGCAGGATACGCAACAATGGGCTCAAGTTACAGGAAGCCAGATTTTGGTTGAATATCAGGAAAAAATTCTTAAGTGTTAGAGCAGTATGGCAATGGAACCAATTACCTCGAGAGGTGGTGGGTGCTCCAGGACTGGAGGCATTCAAGAGAAATGTAGACAACCACCTGCCAGATATCTTTTGATCTGTATGGCCTTAAAGGCCCCTTCCAATTACATGACTCTATGATTTTATGATATATGTTCATTAGTGTGTGTGCCTGTGTCCATCTATATCTTCCCTCCAGTTTACCACTTGCTAAGAAACCTAAGTAGAGGGGTACTGTTGCTCCATCTCATTTCCTGCTCAGAGGTTTCCTATGAACAACTGGCTGGCCATTACACGAACTAGTGAGACCTTTGGACTGACTCAGCAGAGCTTTACCTTTTATGGTTCCAAGTTGCCCACCAGCTCCATACTGTCTTTGCATTTTCCCTCTTTGGTACTACTACTGGTGCATAAAGATTGGCTGTGAATATCTCCCTTTAGCCAAAACATACTCGCTCAGTCTTGTGAATGATGTGAGAAATCTCTGAAAACTTTGTAAATTCGTAGCTAAAGCAGAGCAGAATTGATTTAAATCAAACTGATTTAAATCACAATTTAAATAAAGAAATAAGCCGCCCAGAGTGGTAGAATCTACCAGATGGGTGGGATATAAATCAAATGAATGAATGAATGAATGAATGAATGAATGAATGAATGAATAAACAAACAAATAAATAAATAAGTTTTTAAGGACAACTTACATTTTTAAAAATTGATTTTTAAAGTTAGATTAAATTAAATTCATTTTTAAAAAAATCATTGATTTTTATCCACCCTGTGAGAAAAGTCTTTTAGGATTTGCCCAGATGACCAATGAGAGAGAGAGTGTATGACCACAATTGTTGTTGTTGTTGTTGTTTAGTTGTTAAGTCATGTCTGACTCTTCGTGACCCCATGGACCAGATCACGCCAGGCCCTCCTGTCTTCCACTGCCTCCTGGAGTTGGGTCAAATTCATGTTGGTAGCTTCGATGACACTGTCCAACCAACTCGTCCTCTGTCGTCCTCTCAAGCACAATAGTCATGTTCATAGTATGGCATAGTTGCTTTTCTGGACCATTGGTTACAGAATTCCTGTGCCAGAATGGCCAAGGGTATTAATTCATCATATTTATAGCATGCTCTTCCTGAGCAGGTGGTGTTGGTGTATATTGGGTTCAGCAAATTTCATTCTCGCAGCAATCCTGTAGATAAGGCTGAGAGTATGTCGCTCACCCCTGAATCAGCCAGTGAGCTGATTCAGGGGCGAGTAGAAACTGAATAGTGAACGCAAACCGTATCTCAGGTCTTTCTCTTGTCAAAGTTCAACCCTGCAGTAACCAGTATGTAGCACTAGAGTGGTGCAGAACATAGCATAGGCTCACCATATGCTGTACCACAGCACACTACAATGCTTGAGGAGTTGTAAAGCTGGGGAATGCTGAAGAGGTTGAGGAAGTAAAGGCAAATCCTAGCACCGGGATCGAGCAGGCATTCAGGAATCATGGGATCTAGAATCACATCCTAGATAAACTTGGAATCGAGTTGGTAGCTAAATTGTTCAGCTTAATCCACAGAGCCTGAAGCTGAGGGAAGAAAACAGATTTAGTCATATCCTTTGCACTTGTGAAGATTTTCCGTATGGGACACTACTTTGGGATCAATAATCAACATTACAGTACATGCTAATGTTTTCCTCTAAAATCTGGTTGGTTGTGGTAATTGTACATGTGCTCATTTCCACAGCATGATTATACAATTCTCCATTACGCCTCCACTTCCCATCTGAAACAGTCTCATCACACCATCAATTCTTACTTCTAGTAGACAAGTAGTACTTAAATACTGAAAAGGAATGCATGTTCCCCACCCCAAAAGAGCGAGCCATCTCTTTCAGATGCTCAGGTGAAACCAAACACCACCATTGTCCCAGGTTTCTGTACACCCTGCAAATTTATTTATTTTATTTATTTATTTAGTTTCTGTACACCCTGCAAATGCAGCCCTTAAAAATAACCAGTCCTAATGATCACCTCAAAGGAGTGTCGTGTCTCATTGCAACTACTTCTTGAATTATCTGGTAATTTTGTACAGACAAGTAAAGACTTATGTTTTCTCCATCTAGATAAGGTTTCCCAATGTCCCCCTTAGTTCCACACTGATACTTCGCAAGCCTAAGGCTTTTCTGATATGAAAGTAATTCCAGAAAGGGCAGTGAATCACACCTGAGCACTCTTTACAGGCTGTTAAGGTGGAATGACAGGCATTCACAGATGTTGTGACTACCTGTGTGGTGGATGTGAACTCTTTGCTCCCTGTCTTCCCTGTCTTCCAGGCTATGTTAACTATTATGGGATATCCCATGTCTAATTCTAAAAGGATTCATGTCAGGTTCATCACTGCTGCCGCCCAGTTTGTTCACCTTGCAGCCTCTCAGTCTCAGATGAGGTAATATTCAGAATGAAATGAGTAGCTTTTTATGTCATGCCCTCAGAGACAAAGCAGACGGATGTGTCATCTAACAGCTAGAGTGGTGGACTAGGACTGGGAACCAACATTTGGGAAGACATGGGTTCAAATCCCACCTGGCCTTGTTTGGCCAATCATTATCTTTCAGCCCGAACTGCCTAAGAAGGTTGTTAAGAACATAAAAAAGTTTGGAGAGAAGGGGGTGTATGCTACTCCTGGAAGGAAAAATGAGATATAAACACGATTTTAAAAGTATTACTTTGTTACTGCTTCAAAAGGATAGCCTCCCTGAACCTAAAGGCCCAGAGAAGCTAAGGTGTAAAATATAGCAGTATCATAGGTTTTGGATTCCGTGACCCTTGGGGGTCCCTTGCAGTGCTGCAATTCTGCACTTCTCTGATCCAGCCACTTCTGCCAATAGGCAGCATGTGGCAATTGCCTTGGGAAGCAGGTGCTGAGGTTGGGGTGAGGGGTCTCGGAGAGACAGCAAGTGCGCTGGGATATAGTGTATGTTGGCAGGGAGTTTGCAATATACCTTTGAAACTAGCTTTCTGCCCTCAGGCATGGTGGAAGATGGCGTCTTATGAAATAAGATTCAATGGTGAGTCCAGTCTGCTTCTATGCATGGAAGGCGAGGGGCGGAAGGAATTTCCTATCTTTTGCCAGAGGCAACAAAAGGATTTTAGCTGTTCAGCGGAAGAGCAAAAACCTGCAGCATTTAATGCTCCCTCCTTTTAGGGGTTTACTTCCCATGGCACACAGGAAGCTAAAAGGAAAAGTTTCAAGGAGGTAGCAGTGGTAGTCTATTGCAGCAAAAAGAACACAATCTTGCAGTGTCTTAAAGACTAATAAATTTCATTTGGGTGAGCTGTTGTGAACTGTTAGTCCTCTTCTTCACAAAAATCTGATCAGAGGTGTGTGATATATAGCAGTCATTCACATCAGGTTCATCATTACTATTCCCTGACTTCTGTATCTGCTACTTCCATTTTGCTGGCTTTCAGTCCCAGCTGGCAAAACATTCAGAAAGTAACTGGTCTTTTCTCTCTCTCAGATTGACTGATATGTCATCCAGCTGTTAGTGTGGTAGACTGGGACTGGGAAGACATAGAGCTCAGCCAAGGAGCTGTGTAGGTCAGCCATTACTCATCAGTCTAACTTAATCCAGCCTCTCTCTTTGAAAATGAAGCTAGTATCAAACGCATCAGAAAGAAGAGGTTGTACCCAGTGAATGTTAAGGGCAAACAAAAAGTGTTGGATGTATTCGTGAAGGCTTTCACGGCTGGGATCTAATGGTTGTTGTGGGTTTTTCGGGCTTTTTGGCCGTGTTCTGAAGGTTGTCCTTCCTAATGATTCACCAGTCTCTGTGGCTGTCATCTTCAGAGGTCCTCTGTGCTGTCCTCTGAAGACGCCAGCCACAGAGACCGGCGAAATGTTAGGAAGAACAACCTTCAGAACAGGGCCAAAGAGCCCGAAAAACCCACCACAACCAAAAAGTGTTGGCCTTGAAGGTGCCACACGGATCTTCACAGGTAAAAATGAAAGGGCTTCCTAAAAGATGTGCAGTGCTTTGAGGTAAAAGGTTTCTATAAATGGGCAATCAGTCCAATCTTTTTACGTCTTTGCTTTCTGAGTGTGACTCATGGGTGCTTATTCACCACAATAATGTAAACAATTGGGTCAAATGAAGGAGCTTAAACCAACACACACAGGCACATAGATAATGAATTTCACTATTTCCCTCGCCTATATCTGCATGAGTCATAGGCGCACATTCCATATTTTATTATTATATTTATTAGAATATTTATAGCACACCTTTCCATCCAAAGGCTCTAAGACAGAAAGCATTTAATCATTCCTCTGCCTATCTCTAACTTATTCTTGGGTCCAAAGGGACCCCTAAACTGGCTGACAATCATCAACAAAGCAACTAACCAATAAAATGCAGAACAAGCAGCAACCATAATACAAGAATTAAGAACAAAGACGTAAAACAAGCCAGCAAATAATATATTGATGATAGGGGAAAATACTATAAAAGGTTAGCACAGTCCAAAAGCTTGGTAAAATAAAATCCTTTTTAGTCTGCTGAAGAATCAACGGGAAGAGGGCTAGTGGGGTTTCTATGAGGGGGCACAGAAGATGGTTCCCTGAAGAATGTGAGGACTATGAACACATTCAGGTGTCCCCTGGACATCAGTAGCTCTCTGTTGGCTGATATTTTGACTCTAGAAGCACAGTTGAATTGTTCCTGACACAAACCATGAAACAGGGCTTCTAGAAAGAGGGAGCTTCCCATGGTTGAGGCCACTCTTGAAAAATTCCAGCCATACCTCCTTGTTGTTGTTGTTTAGTCGTGTCCGACCAGGCCACTGTTGAAAAATTCCAGCCATACCTCATTGTTGTTGTTTAGTCGTGTCCGACTCTTCGTGACCCCACAGAACAGAGCACGCTAGGCCCTCCTGTCTTCTTAATGAGTGCTAACCAAATATCTGAAGGCAAAGGGCCATAGAACAAGCCCCAGATAATGACTGTAGTGTCAGGGCAGATTAATGTGGAAAAGAAGAAGCCAATATAGTCTGGTGGATAGATTGACAGACTAGGGCTCAGGAGAGCCCTACTTAGTCAGAGGAAATCACTGGGGGATGGGTGGCAGCACTGATAAAAACTCTCCTTGACTACCTCACTCACCTCAAAGATGCTATTAGGACTGCTATGAGTCAGCTGTGACTTGGTGGCATATTACACACACACACACACACACACACACACACACACACACACACACACACACACACACACACACACACACACACACACACACACACTATGTAAGAAACGGGGGGCGCACACACACACACACACACACACACACACACACACACACACACACACACACACACACACACAATGTAGGAAAAGGGTGGCCTTCTGAGGAATTTGGTCCCCGCAAATATAGGCAATACCTCATACCTTGACCTAGACTAATTTGCAGCCAGTGCATGTTGAAACATATTGGGAGAACATGCTCTGAAAAGGAAAGCTGACTCATGTCCTTGCTGCTATATGTGCATAAGGTGGTATTGTTGAGTGTTTTACAAGGGCAGAATGCACTCCAGTAATCTAATCTAGATGTGAACATAATGTGCGTCACAGTGTCTACATTTGCTGTTTCCAGGAACAAGCATGTTTGAAGCTAAGAACTCATACTTGTGGCAATCCTGATATGTAACAAAAGTACGTCCAGAGTGCTTTCAAATGATGAACTTGCTCCTGCAAGGGATGACAACCCTATTCAGAACATCTTATTCTGAACTACCTTTTCACCTGGCCAATATAAACTCTACATGGTCAGTTTGTCAGTCCAACTCCAGCATTTAACATAAGAAGGAGAATAATTAGTTATGTGCTGCCAAGTCGTAATCAACTTAGACTCTTTCAAGGTAAGTGAGGTATTTAAGGAGTAGCTTTACCTGTCTCACTCCCTCAGTCAGTTTCCATGTCTGAGCCTGGATTGGAACCTTGTTCTTCAGAGTCCTAATCTGTCACTCCATTCTCCAGTATACCACACTGGAGAATGGTCCTTTCCTTAGCAGTGTCATTTCTGCCACGAATGTTCACAAAGGAAGTTGGATGCTGCAGTTTGATTTATGAATTTGACAAACTGCTGTTGTTTTGTCGCTGAGAGTGATCTCTGCTTGATGAAATGAAAACTGAGGTCATTTGCATCTTTCTTGTGCCACGATTTTAAAGTCACCACCAATCTGAATGTCTGCTATCTGCATTAATTAAAGTGTTACCATCCCGGAAGCTCATAACACCATTCTTGCTTTCATCCCAATGATCTCCACGTTCATCCCATCATCCTGTGTATAAAGCTATTACTCAAATTTATATTCCATCTGTTTCAGCTCATCCTGAAATAAACGTTTTAGTCTTTTATATGCCACGTACATCTGTTTTCTTTTCTTTTGCTTTCCTTGTTGTCGAAACACAACTACCTCTCTGAAGCCTATATTATCTATCCACAGCTTGAACTTCTTCAGCTCCAAGCAGAATATGACTGGAAACTGAAGTCGGTTGGAAATGTGATTGTTAAACTGCAGAAGAATTCCGAATCTATAGTGGTAAGAATTTCGCTGGAGACCAACCACCACCACCTTAGAACTGTAGGGCTGGGTCAAGAAGTCTAGCCTCTCTCAAGGAGGCACAGTGGGGAATTGAACTCCCTACCTCTGGTGCCACAGCCAGAGACCTAAGCCACTGGCCTATCCAGAGCACAAACTCCAGTGGTGATAACACCCGTTTAACCATATGATCTGTCCATTATATTTCAAAAGACTTCCCCATAGTAATCTTTTTTCATAAACGGTCTGGTCTGGGTTTGGACTGGAATTCCAGGTGTGAGGGGTCTCTGCTCAAATGGTTCTCTGGCACACACACACACACACACACAGCTTCCCCATAGTAATCCTTTTGCATAAACGGTCTGGACTGGGTTTGGACTGGAATTCCAGGTGTTGAGGGGTCTCTGCTCAAATGGTTCTTGGGCACACACACACACCCTGTTAAACTAACGCTTTCCTCAGGCATACCTTCTTGTGGCAATAACAGCAGCATGGCTGCAAAGGCAGCCAGCTAAGGCTGCCATTTTAAATTTCTTGCACTAGCTGTGCATACCCAACCTAGTATTCTTATTCCAGGGCATTCTGGGAAAATTAAAAGGTGGTTTATAGGCCTGGCAATCTCATCTGGACTTCTGCTCTTTTCCAAGAACAAGGCAGAATCTAGAAGCACCCGGTTCCAGATCTGGTTCTCCAAGGAGAGAGCAAATCTGTCCTAAACAGATTGCAAGCATATTTCTGGGTCAGGAGTCCTCCTGACTGACATCACTTCTTTATCTCCTCCGGATTAAATCAAGTTACTTGCATAGTCCAGAATTTTACAGATGAATAGAAGGGAACAGTAGCCTCCGTCATGGAAGCATTTCATGATACAGTATCATCCAGGAGATGAACCCCTGAGTTGTACTTCCAAATAGCAAATTTTTCAAATAATAAGTGGCAAGTAATGCAACTCATTGTCAGCTTTTGTACATCTTCTTAAGCCACACAGTCCTTCTGCAAGCCTAGCAGGCTCTTGATGAATGTAAAACCTCCCGTTGTTTGCTCTGTTCTGCTCTGGGGTTTCTCTACATCCACAGAAGCATCTAGGATCACACTGACTTCTGCCACAAGTGTCTTTGATCTGAAATGCTCTTGAGGGACACACCTCCTAACTGAGGACCATCCTGTCTTCCTGCTTATCAGCTCTGCAGCTCTTTAATCACAGGTCAAACAGTTAAATGGCAGCTCTTGACAGATTCATTTGTTCAGAAGATGGACACTCACTGGATCACCAAAGAGGCAGTTGGATCAGAGATGGCAAAAGTTACATTTTAACTTTTTGACCAGTCCCTGAAACCATCAAATGGCATGGCAAGTGGATATGCTGGCAGGGGTATTTGGGAGCTGTAGTTCAAAAAAAGTTACTTTTCTCCACGTGTAAAATATATGTTCATTTATGATAATTTGCTTGTTCATGTTCATGATTCGTTCTGTTTTCTCTCCTTAATTAGCTGTTTCTCTTGCCCTTGCCTCCCACACAAGAAATGATATAAATAAGGACTTCATAAAATCTGCTTTCCAAGCCAATGAGGCAGCCACCGCAGACAGCAGGTTTGGGGTACCAAGAAAGGGCAGGAATTATTTATTATGTTGTTACTTGTGGGTGTCTTTATATTGCCAGCGACGTAGGGTGGGGCTTTTCTGCCTCATGTGTGCCAAAAGAACATGGCTGACTGGGAGTAAGGTGATGGCGCTGGCCGTGGGCAATCATTTGATGGTGCCCAAAGAGTAGGGCAAAAGAAACAGTGTACCCAGGTGGATCCTTTTCTTCTTGCAGAGTTCAGTATCTGAAATGAAAACCTTGGTGGAAGAAAAGTTTGAAGAGCTTCTTCTAGCTGTCAAGAAGACTCAGTCTTTTGTGTTGGCTTTCCTAGAGGAAAAGGAGCGCGCTGCAGTTAACCATGCTAACGGAATAAAGATCCACCTTGAGAACAAGCAGGTTGCAATGGAGGAGTGCAAGAACAGGCTGGAGAAGATGGCCACACACACCAACGACATCATCTTCCTCAAGGTACCTTAAACAACCAAAAGGGGAGCAGAACCAAAAGGATGGACATGTCTAGACTGTGTTTTCAACAATGATGCAATGAGAATTAAATTCAGCACTTCGCAGTCCATCATTGTTTCTTGGGATGAACACTTTCTGTTCCTGTATGTTTGTAGGAGCTCTTCCTGCAAAATATCTGGGCTTGGCCCTGCTTTGTATGCACATGGGTACGCACTGTTCTGTATGCTCGCCTGAAATGCGACTCTTTGTCTGTGTTTGTGGGAACAGCTACTCGGGTGCATTTTTGAACCCACTTGATGGTGCAGCTACTTGCTTGGAGAGCAGCAGCTACACTCATGTCTCCTTCTTGTGACCTGGAGTATTTGGCTCAGCCTGGGGAACTGTTTATTTAGCCCAGGGGTCTCCAAACTTTTCACCATGAGGGCCACATCATATATTATACACATTTTTGAGGGCCGGAGAAACACACATGCGCACACGCAGGCTTAAGGGAACGGACCTGAGCCTGTGGCGTTTGTGGAGGAACACACATGTGCACGCGCAGGCTGAAGGGAACGGACCTGAGCCTGTGGCGTTTGCCAGGCCAAATGAAAAGGCAAGGCGGGCTGGATGTGGCCTGCAGACTGTAGTTTGGAGATCCCTGATTTAGCCAGACGTAGCAGGAATTGGTTCTCCACAAGGAGGCCTGGTTCAGCAAGGGAGCTGTCCAGCCAAGAACGCCACCGAAGAGCTTTCCTGAGAAGCTGTGGTGCCAGCAACCCTCTGCCAGTCATGGCATCATTTGGGAGCCAACCCTGCTGCCTCGCCTTTACTTCGGTCCTGATCTGCATGCATTGGTTCCTGGCTTCTCATTCCAAGTAGGGCTAAGCTATGGGAGGCTTCAGTCAGCTATAGAGGAACTATGTCTTTCAGTCTTTTCAGGTCACTTCCCTGGTTTTAAAAAGTGACCAAGCTGGAAATAGTAAGAGGTTTCCTAGACTACAGTGGTCTGGACAGTGCGCGCGCCCATCGCATAGTCATCACCATAAAAGTGGAGAGAAGATGAGCAAGAGCCAAAAATCCTTGGCTCCTGGTTTGTAGCTTTTTAAAAGAGTAAAGACACAGAAAAACTGGCTATTCTGTGGTGTAGCTTCCATCCCAATGGCTTTCTGGGAAGGATGAGCTGGTATGTGAGGCTGTGACTCAAGCAAGATGACAAGGGTCAAATGCTGTGGCTGCACAGAATATATGCAGGTGGTTACTAGAAATATTATTATTATTAATAGGAATACTGTGAATTCAAGAAAAGTGCAGGAGATGACACCCTACCCAGCGTGTATATTGGCCTCAAGGACAAGTTGTCTGGGATCCGGAGAGTGCTCTCAGACTCCACGGAACATCTTCTACAGCAGCTGAAAACGTCCTATAAAGACAAGTTGCAGGAATTCGCCAAAGATGGTAGGTACCCACTGATTGATGCCTTCACTCAGTCCAATGATCTTTTTGTCATTTATTTCAACAGTTAAACTAGTTGTTTTCATCACCTACCCCCCGCTTTTTTTAAACAGAGGATGCTGGCATAAAGGTGTCTGCAGTTGTCTCATGGAAGCACCGCTTGTCAGCTCCAGAACCTCAAAGCAGGAGTGACTTCCTCAAATGTAAGTCTGATTATCGATGTAGCTTTCATGAGAATAGAAGATGTCACTTGCTGGCTCAGGCAAAAGGCCTGTTTCCCAGAATGGTCAACTGGGTGCCTTCAGGAAGCCCAACCAAAGGGATGCGAGGAGAACAATACCTTCTCACTCATCCCCAGCAACCAATAGAGACAGGCAAACCACCTTGGAGGCTACAATTGTTTATGCGGCCCTTATCATTTTATATTTATTTATTTATTCGATTTTTACCCCGCCCCTCTAGACAACGTCTACTCGTCTACACTAGTAGCCTTTTTTAAATAGTCCTGTCCTCTGGCTCCCACATTTAGTTGTTATTACTATTCTTATTTTTAGTTTTCTTTTCTACCTGATACAGTTGTGTATCCCATACACAACCAAGAAAAAACTGAACTCCAGTTCTCTGTCTGTCTTCACACACACACACACACACACACACACACACACACACACACACACACACACACACACAAAGGGAGAGACATACAGACAGACATATTTTTAAAGATGGCACAAAACAATATAAGCATTTAAGAAAACCAATATATGTAAAAAGTGTTTATGGAGGGGTTATCATTAATTAGGACTCAGAGCAAATGAACTTCCTTTTAATATCCCAGACCTAGCTCTGAAGGGCATGTTGAGAAACCTATATACTCTCTGTAGCTCTAATGTGGGAAAGTGCAATAAAGTGTAAATCCAATAACTGCTTTGATTTCAAAACAATTCAAAATACTTAAATGCACCCCACCCACCCCATAGTGCTGAAATGAAATATAAGAAGGTTGAATTCAAAGGGGTTAGCCCCAGGCCTTCAAGTTTGCAGAAGTAGGTTTTCAAAAGCTTGCTGAGAAACAGTGGCTAAAATCTTGTTGTGCATTTCCATGTGTGCTGTGGGAATGATATCAGCAGCAGTGGCCAATCTCTATTGATTAAAGCGTCCTTTGGCAATTTCACATTGCACGTGATTTTATTGCTTTGTGTACAAACCGCACACACCACAAAATAACCAAAGTTCCACTGCTGATGACAACAGTTTTGTTGTGCACATGGAGCCACATCACAGGATTTCCGAGAGTGCGTTGGGAGGCAAAACCCTGGGGAACCGTAAGAAAAGTAGTTTTCTCCAGAAAAGCTACATTTCCTCCTTGGCTTTTCTTTCTTGGCCCATTGTTATCCAGTATGCTCTGGCACAGCCAATGTGTGCGGCAGTGTCAAACCAAGACTTAGGATACCTGGGCTCAAATCCCTCCTTGGCCATGGAAGCTCACTGTGGATAGAAAGGTAAGCCACTCCTTAACACCCTGAAAACTGCAAAAAACCCTATTAGGGTCACATACAAGAAGCGGCTTGACAGCACCTCATCACAGATGCCAAAAAAGCTGGGGAGACATCCTGTGTGCATGGATGGGTCCTTGTCCAGCTAGTGAAAAGCAGGCAGCAGCTTGCTCTTGCTTCCTTTGCTAGCAAGGAGTCCGTTCGTTGGCTCAGAATTTGACAGGATGATGCCAATACAAAGATCTCCTTCTAGCATGGTGAGAGCCCATTCAGTGTAAGCCACGTGGGCCCTTTCCAGCTGCTGCTGAACTACAACTCCCATCAGTGCTAGAAAATATGTAGTTCAATACTCTGTGGAGGGTCATGTATCTCCCATCCTTGATGTAGGATGATAGTGTGTATAGTGGAATGAGGACAGCCTGTGCAAAGAGAGCAGTTCTCAATTTTTAAAGAGGCAGTTCTCAAAATCTGTGTGAAAATAATTTTTTCAGTAGAACATGGTGGAGCATTCCTCCAGATGCTTTCTGCATGTACTGCAGAATATTAAATATGTAAAAAACCCTTTGAGGATTAATTTTTAAAATTGTATGATGCGACTTTGAATGTCTGGATGCTGCTGTGAAACTACTATATTTCCCTTCTTGGTGCTTAGAAGGGAAATGGTGAAATTCAGATAACTAGTTGTACTAGTCTAGTCAGCTTGTGGTATTGTTCCAAACATCTATACAAGAAGAGGTTTGACTCCATATAGGATAGGAAGAGATGAGAAAATCCATGAAATCCACAAATTTTTGCATTTTCAATTAATAGATGGTGTTACTCCCTATAAGATCAAAAGTGAGTTGCAACCTGCGATATCTTTACCACACAATGAAACTTTAAATTCATTTCTGGAAATTTTTTTTAAAAAATCCAGATTCTTACAAGTTCTATATATTGCAACAAAAAATATATATACATATAATTTGAGTTAGTCACCTTTATTGTAAAATTAACTTGAATCTCATGTCTAGTGCAGATAATTCTTTTCTTTTTGCTTGCTAATGTTGTGCATATGTGTAAATACATGTTTTTTTCCTCTGTAGATATATGCCCAATAACATTTGACCCAGTTACTGCTCATCGTTATTTGAGGCTCTTGGATGAGAACCATAAGGTTACCAACACGACGCCATGGGAGCACCCTTATCCAGATCACCTGGAGAGATTTGAGCACTGGCGCCAAGTGCTGTCAGACAAAAGCCTCTATATCGGCCGCTATTACTTTGAAGTGGAGGTCTCTGGGGCTGGCATTTACATTGGTATGACGAACAAAAGCATTGACCGGAAAGGGTCAGAGAGCAACAGCTGCATCTCAGGGAATAACTTCTCTTGGTGCATTAAGTGGAATGGCAAGGAGTTCTCGGCTTGGCACAGTGATGTGGAGACCCCATTGAAAAGCCAGGGATATCAGAGGATAGGAGTCTACCTGGACTACCCCAGGGGAACCCTCTCCTTTTATGGCGTTGCTTCTGAAACCATGACTCTCTTGCATAAATTTGAGTGCAAGTTTACTGAGCCTCTTTACCCAGCCTTCTGGTTGTCGAAGAAGGAAAACACGGTGCGGATTGTCAAGTTGCGGGAAGAGGCTGAGCAGAAGCCACCACCTCCGCTTTCCTTGGGAGAGGCAGCTTCATCCAGTACAGTGTCGGCACTGGAGGCTGAAGCAGTGACAAATACGAAGACTCTGGACTCAGGAAGGAACCCATGAATGGATGATTGCCTCATTGGCAGTAGCTGCTCGCTTGTGTGCTATTGGTTTATCATCACATACATTGTTGTTGTAGGTTTTTCAGACTGTCTGGCCGTATTCTTGAGGCTGCACCTCAGGAACATGGCCAGACAGCCTGAAAAACCTAAAACAACCATCACATGAAAGCCTTCGAGAATACAAATAAATTGTTCTTTATACAGTGAAGAATTTAAAATGCTTATTAGGTCTTTAACTATCACTTTAAAAAGAGGAAACAAAACAATGAGTGGTTAATCCTTCCCTTTCATGGCTGAGTTGGCTTTATTTAGAATTAGTTTCCTCCTGAGGGAAGCATACTGGAGTGTTTTATTTTTTTAAATTGTACTAACTTACAAATCAGGATGAGGGAGCTGGTTCTCCATAGGAAATTGAAAGGAAACCTTACACTGAAATGGTGGGTGGGGAAGAGGGCTCTCAATTTCTCTCTACATTAGGGTTACACATGTACCACAAGATTTGAACCAGACCCAGGTTGGGGGCTCAGAAAACTGCCTGATTTGGCTTGATTCAAAACCTTTGTGCTTCTGTTGTCTGTAATGACAATTCCCCCCCTGCTCTGTTGGTCTGAAATGGATTATATCTGCAGGGTCAGTAGTCATGCAGGAATAAATCACATTTCTCAAATTTCAGACAAATAGTTACAGAGCACTTCGTGTTAGGTGCCTTAAGTTTAGACCTTTTTTTTAAAAGAAAAGTACACTACTGATAACATTTTTACATCTTGAGGACACTGGGTGAAAATTTCAGGTGGGGATTAAGCGTACCAAGATTCAGAGGAACACGAGGAGGGAATTTTGTGTAAGAGCAGCCGTTGTAGTTTAGGGGCTTCTGTAAAAGGGCAAGCTTATTGAGACTGAGTTCTTTCTTTCTTTCTTTCTTTCTTTCTTTCTTTCTTTCTTTCTTTCATGGCAATCATTATGCGACTGACATACAAAACAGAGGTGGCCCTAGTTCAGAAACCATAATATTTTCAGAAGAGTAGGCTGTGCTTTTGTTACAGGTTTCATATTCTTTCAGAGGTTTTTAATTTATTTATAAGCCCTGTAGTTCTAAGATTATTATTAGAGGAGAGACAGAGTAACTAATATACAAGGCCTTGGGAACAGCCTTCAGAGATGACAGACTCAAAAGTCTGTGATCACTGAAGGAACTACCTGAATAATTAATATATATTAATTATTATAATTATTATAATCCCAAGGCCTTGTATATTAGTTACTCTGTCAGATTCTGTACACAATACTATAGTAGTAGACCACAGCTACTGCCTCTGCCACTACACTGCTTTCCCTAGGCTTCACCCCCCACCCACCCCTGTTATCTACCCTCTACTGTGGACATCCGCAGGGAAAAATCTAAGCAAGGGGTGAACCATGTGTGTAGACTTTTCTGTGAATCAGAAGACTCTCTGGTCAGGATCTCTGCTCCAGGGGAAGTCTGTGATCTCTGAAGGCTGTTCCCAAGGCCTTGTATATTAGTTACTCTGTCTATCCTCTAATAATCATCTTGGAACTACAGGGCTTAGAAGGGATCCTATGGACCACGAAGTCCAGCCCCTATGAAGGAGCCACAGTGGGGAATCGAACTACCAACCATATCCAACCCACCGAACTGCTCTGAAATCACGTGGTGGCTTTCATGGGTTACTCATTCAAACACAGGTCTGCTGAGCTGTGTTTGAATGAGCTGTTCAACACTTCAACTGAGGCACTGGGCCGCCTCTCTTTGACTCTACAAATGCCCACACCTAACACAGGGACGTTATTGATTTCATTACTCACTTATGTTATTCATATGCTGTCTTCCTCCCTGTAGGGGCCCCAAGGAAGCTCATAATGTCTAAAATTATGCAATAATCACAGTTTTAAAAATCCCATTGAAATTACCGTATTTTTCGCACCATAAGACACACTTTTCCCCCACAAAACAGGGGTGGTGGTGGTGGAAAGTCTGTGCGTCTTATGGAGCAAAGAAAACAGATTATATTTTCCTGTTTTCTTCTCCTGAAAAATTGGTGCGTCTTATGGAAAGGTGTGTCTTATGGAGCGAAAAATACGGTATATTTTAAAAAATGATATACACATTCTTAAATTTGGAAACCAAGATTAAAATCAATTTAAAAGTATTTTAAAATTTCTAATTCAAGCAATATAGGGACCCCTTACTTACTGCTGAAAAGCCTGTCTGGAAAGGACAAGGGGGGGGCAACCTAGCTTCACAGGGCTGTGAAAAAAGGGGACAATATTGATCTTTAGAGAAGGCCAGTGTTGCATTCTTGCTCATCATGGAAAGATCACTTCAGGCATACATGAAGAAGTGGTCTTGTGTCAACTGGGAATTGCAAAAAATCATTTCAGCTGTAGAAGACTATGTTTGTGTTAATAGGAGCCTCATGGCACCGTGGCTAAACTTCAGTACTGCAGTCAAAACTGTGCTCACTACCTGAGGTTCAATCCCAACGGGCTCGGGTACCATCTCAAGGTTGATTCAGCCTTCCATCCTTCTGAAATTGGCATGTTGCATACCCACTTTGCTGGGGGTGGGCGGGTGATGTGTAATTTGTAAACTGGCCAGAGAGTGCATTAAGCACTTTGCTTCCATCCACCACCCCCATTAATATTTCAAATATTTGCAAGGATGCTGTTGGCTCTCTCTGATTATTACATATGAATCTGACCCAGAATACCTGATTGTATTGGCATCAGTCTGATTAAGGCTGCAATACTGTAGGAGTAGGAGTAGAAGTAGAACTTATTCAAAAATTCAAAACACAGTCATATAACATACTAGTTTTAACCGAAAACTTCAGTATTGGTTAAATTGTGTAATATATATGCTGTTCCTAATATAACCATTTTTTGCAGCTCTTGTGTTATTTCAGAGATCTGCAGCTGATTACAATGTTTTATGAAATTCTATGCGGGCTAAACCGCAGAAGCCGGTGCTGCAGGGTCAGAAGACGAGCAGTCGTAAGATCGAATCCACGCGACGGAGTGAGCTCCCGTCACTTGTCCCAGCTCCCGCCAACCTAGCGGTTCGAAAGCATGCAAATGCAAGTAGATAAATAGGGACCACCTCGGTGGGAAGGTAACAGCGTTCCGTGTCTAAGTCGCACTGGCCATGTGACCACGGAAGATTGTCTTCGGACAAAACGCTGGCTCTATGGCTTGGAAACGGGGATGAGCACTGCCCCCTAGAGTCGAACACGACTGGACAAAAAATTGTCAAGGGGAACCTTTACCTTTTACCTTTATGGCATTGTTTCCAATGCCCCAATGATTATGGGGACCACTGAAGTGTTGTTGTTATTGTTACCATCATGAACATATACTGCATGTATATGTATCCCAGTATAAGGAAGCATGGTGGCTTGCAAATGGTTAAAAACAACAAACAATAATATTAAAACTCAATTAAATATATTAATATATTAAAATACTGTAGCCACTGTATTAGAACATTTTTATTTTATTTTTTAAAGGAAATTTGAGTAAGGCCAACTGAACTATATCTGGCTTGCCCCTGGGTACTTACTCAGGGGTAAGCGGATGTACTCTTTCGAATTCCACAAACCATTCTTACCTCTTAACCAGCCAGTTCCAGTCTATTCCAAAGTACCTCCCTTCATAGCGTTTGGAGTGCAAATCCCATCACCTCACCCTGCTGCTGGCGATAATGAGAGTTGTAGTCCGATCCCTCTCGAGGATGCCTGCAGGTTGGAGCAGGCTGGACCAGAGACTCCGTGTGTGGCTTCTCGTCTCATTTCACGTGCGCCTATTTTCCTTTGAGATGTTGTTTTGAGAAGTGGATTTATCTTGGCAGCACTCATGAAGGGCGGATTAGCAGCAGCGAGTGACACGGAAAGATATGGAAGAAGCATTGAATCTTTGCACAGGGTCAAATGCAGGATGACAAAACAATGATTTTCAAAATTACCTTTTTTTAAAAAAAGTCCAAGGGATAAGGTGGTAGTGTCACATGTCACCAAATTAACTTGGAGACTGCATAAATAAACAAGATCTGCAGACAAGAATGTGGTTCACGAAAAAAAGGGGGAGTAGCAGTTCTTTTAAGGAAGCTTGGTACCAATGCCCACTTTCCCCACAAGGGGGCAATATTGTATCGCAACAGACTTGACCCGCCTGCTCCGACTCATTAGGTTGTTCTGCCAGCTTCGTTTCAGGTCGTTAGTTTCCTCAGAGCCATTTGCACTCAAGAGGCTGAGAATTCAATTTGGAGTCTCTGCGAATATATGGAGCTGGCCAGGGAATCTTTTCCAGGGCAGTGTGGAAGCATTTCTGAGCCAATCCCTTAGGATGGGTGAAGAAGACTAATAAGCTGACTCTAGAAGGGTCTCTGACCAGGCGACAAGGCCAGCCTTAGCGTTCGGCAGAGAGGGGCGTCTGCCACAGCTGGAAGTTTTCTGGTGTCACCGAAGGGCGAGTGACTTAATTGGTGGATATTCTATTTTTACTGCCACAGATGAAGAGAGGAGATTGTTAGAATCCCTGCCTCCTGTGCCCAAATAATGGGCCCTGTCACCATACTCCTCGACTTGGGTGGGTGGGTGAGTGGGGTGCCATTTACGGAACTGTCTCGGGCAGCAACTTGTCTAGCTCTAGTGCCAAAAGGATAGCTAGCAATTCAGGGGGGTGGGGTGTCAGATCCTTTGGACAGAGTCAGATCCCCAATCATTGAAGGAGCTGATGTTCACCTTCAGATTTCTCCTGAGTTTCCTCTCCTCTTGCCCCTGGAGCCTTCAGGGGCAGCTATGGCTGGGAGTGTCTGCCTAATGTTTACCTACTGCGTCCATCCCAAAGGAGGGCAGATCTGGCCATGGGGAGACATATTTGAATCAGGAGCAAAGAACGTGAGGGCCTCCAGATCACCTCTTGATCCTCAACCCTCTTCTCCACTGGCTTAAGACTGATGAGAGGTGTAGACCTGCACCATTTGGAGGACCACAGTTCCTGGCAGTGCAGAAGACGGATAAGGTGTCTTCTTCACTCAGGCAAGCCCTGCCTTAGGGCAATCCCTTCAATGACACACAGTGGAGGGATCTGCTCGCCACCAGCACTCCTAGGCGCTGAACATTTTGACAGACAATACTCCTAAAACGAATATTTCAACAAGTATTCAAACAAGTCGCTTTTAGTTCTAGAGATGAGGGGAATTGTATCCTCAGAAATAATTTTTCTATGCTCCAGGGTAGATGACATTTGAATTTGACACAAGGATTTCTGCCTCCATGTCTTTTTCCTCATTGATATGGTTGGATTTGAAACAAATTACAGCATCCACACTTTTTTTCTACTGAGATCGATCCATCTTGCCTCTTTAAGAGTGGTCCTGCTCCTTTCTGGAGCAGTGCTAGAGGCTTCTGTGTTTTTAAAATACGATTCTGAGTGCTTTTAATTTCCCTTTGTGTGATCCATGTGGATGTTATTTTGCACTCATATGGAACTGTGGGTAGCGTTACCTGAGGGAACAACTTCGTAGCATATAAGGTGGATTGTGACATTCAAAGGGGGGATGAGGAAACCCCCTTCTCTATTTTCATCTTCTTTTAAATATTTCCCTAACTGACACAGTGCAATGTACCATGCCAGGTTGAAGCATGGTCATTTTGATATGCCACTTACTTTAATTAACCAAAAAAAGAGAGGAAAGTCAGGGAAAGGGGGCTATTTTGACTCCATGGGCTTTATCTCCACAAGGTAGTGCAACTCCAGCAGAGCCCTGGCTGAGGAGAAAGGCAGGGAAAGATGGGTGTGTGTGTTCTGTATCTTCTCTCTCCCCAGCCTCCACCTCAGTGTTTTCCTCTTGCTCTGATACTGTCCTTGGTTGCTGCCTCCTTAATCATGAATAAACCAGGTAAGCTTGCGAATAAACTGGCAGTCCAAAGACTTGTATCCTTCTCACAGAAGAATAAACATCTCCAG